CAGGGTCTAAACAAATAATCAGATATCATGTTCCTCCTGTGAATGTGGACAAACTGTTCAGTTTTGTGAGCCTGTGTAACTTGTAGTATCAGATTCTGGTTCTCTGACAGCAGGAACACCTGATGTGGTCTTTTGCTGCTGTAGCCCATCTGCTTCAAGTTTTGTTGTATTGTCTGTTCAGAGATGTGCTTCTGTATACCTTAATTGTAGCGAGTGATTATTTGAGTTATTATTTCAGCTGGAAGTAGTCTCATCATTTACTTTAGACTTCAGCAAGGCATAGTTATTTAGAGAACTGCAGATATTTTCTCGTTTTTTGGTGGTTTAAACTTCACCAGGTCATCGTGCCTAAAGGCATTAAATTTGTGATTGGCTAATTATATATTTGTGTTGGCAAGCAATTAAACAGGTGTGCTTAAGTGGCTGGTTTAGGTACAGTATAAACACTTGAAAAAAATGATGTTTTTTTCTATTAAAAGGCTATACAAATGGGAAAAAAAACCATGATAAACTAAAATGACTGAACAACACTACAATGTGGTGTTTATGAGAATTTCTGTTGCTTCAGTCTAAGGCGACTTAAGGAATTTTTTCTTAATCTTAAACCAGTAATCTAAGTCCAACTGAAGAAAAACGTCCTTTTGGGTTTATGATGCATCAAAAAAATTATAAAAAAAGATTATTCGTTAAAAAAAAAGTACTTTTCATGTCCTATCATTATGGGACTAAAACACTGTGATGGCAGCAGGTTATGCATATTTTCTGACACCTTATCATTAATCTGTCTGTGTAGGTTTTTTAGTCATCCAGGTCGTGGTCATCTAAGTGGCTTGGAAAAAAAGCAACTGGACTCTTTGAAGTTTCGTGAAGACGTTTCTTCTTGGATGTTTCGTCTTCATCAAACTTCAAAAAGTCCAGTTGCTTTCTTTCCAAGCCACTTAGTCCTTATATTTATATGAATGATTAAAATGACCCGTATAAAAAAAAAGAGCTGCTTCACACAAATAAACCCAAATTTCAATCATTTCTGTATCGTCATATGTTCACTGAATTGTGCTTTCACCAGAGCTCTTATTATATAATCCTACATGGTTCTGCGGAACCTCTGCTCATCTGTAATATGTTCACAGTGCATGCCGATGGGCCTTTGATCTGCCTCCCCTTCTGGGCCTCTTCTAAAGGAGGACCCTTCTTAAGCTCATGCTGCCTGGATATATCTAGTTGGATATCCTCCAGGTGTGATGAAGAGTTGCCCTCATTATGTTACTGCATCTGTATGTCAATATGTTACTTCAGGTAAGCTATGGCACTCGTATGGCCCTCTGTTGTTCAGCTGAACGCATCCATGAGCACTGGTGCACTGCAGGTCCAGTACTATCTACCTCTGTAGGCCCCCAGTCCTAAGGAATGCCAATGACTGCCAGCTCCAGACAGCTTTTAAGATTTTAACTGATGTATTTCACTACAAAGGCAGATATCTGTGCCATATGCTAAACTGTGGAAAGTGCATGCTCAGACATCTAAGACTACTATTATCAGGGTTTGGATATTTGCCTAAAGCATATCTTAATGACGATGACATGTGTAAGATGTATTTAGCTGTGTTGATAGATGGTTGCACAAAGTATCTGTCAAGTGATATAAGGAAGAAGATGTTTATATGGTGAGAGTTTTTTGCACTGTAGCACAGATTTTAAAAATATGCAGTGACTTATCTCACATATCGCCATTTCACTATATATATGTGTGAAAATTTCTTTGGAGTGTGTGATCCGGGGGGTAAAGGACAGTAAAATATTGTGTTGACTTTACTCTGTTATGCTCTTGTCGTGCGTCTCAGTGAGAGGAGGTTGGCTTGACTCTCTTGTTTTGGATAATTGTACGCTGCCGAGGTCTGTGGTCCCCTTCTCTGTCTCCATGTGGCCTAGGCTGCAAGAGCCATATTTAGGTTGCATGTCCTCTTCATCCTGTCCTGTCTCATCCCCATCCTGTCTTACACACCCCCAGAGCGCAGCAGGGGGCAGATAAGAGACAGCAAGTCATCCAAAGACGAAACTGTAGGTACATTAGGAAACTCTCCTGGGTTATTCCAAGATTTGTGCTGACATCACAGGAGTGTTCAGAATTTTTATTTTGAATGGGTTTTTGTTTTGTTTTTTTTGTGAACGTCAAGTTGTTTGGCTGCATAAACGTTTTTAGGGAATTTATGTAACCAAAAATATTTCAAACCATGCTTTACTTGTACTAGTGGTATTTTATTTTTGCAGGTTGTGCTTGGCCTTTCTTCTTTTAGATGGTGCAACTTGAGTGCAACGTACGGCCTCTTCTCATATTTGCTTAAAATTACCATTAATTACACCCCCTTCTTAAAGAGTTAATGTAGGTCTCACATGTCCCCAGAAAGTCTGTCAAGTTTCACTTCAAAATATTGCACAAATTGTTCATTCTAGCATGCCTGTATATCCCTGGTTTTAGCCCTTTTCCAAATGGGCTGTTTCATTTTCTGTACCTTTAAATAAAATTAGCTGCTGCTGCCAGTGTGCTTTGCCGGAAGAGTAGTGTTCCTTTTATGTTGTTGCCATGAATACGCCAGCAAAAACAAGGGGAAAAAATGACCCCAGATTATAGTATAGGAGTAACCCTTAAAGAGCTGTTGGCTAGCAACAAAACCTTTAAGTGTAATAGTTTATGTTTATTATATTTATATTTATTTTTCACAGGCATACCGTGAGGAAATACTAACAAAAAAAGTGTAGCTCAGGATAGCACTACAGGAGACATATAAACTCAGAAACCTAGTTTTGGTATGAAATTTGTCTTAGTTTCCACAATGTGGTAGTGACTGTTTGACATTACAGATTTATGGATGTCCTGAAGATTCATTTAATGGCAGGTTTTCAAAATACAGGCTGTGTGAATAAACTTACTACATCAGTATCAGTGTCTACAATGTTGTAACTTTAGTGGTGATTATGAACTTTCGTGGATGTCCACAAAAGACAACAGTGGTGGATGATCGCAGAATCATTTCCATGGGGAAGAGAAACCCCTTCACAACAGCCAACCATGTTAACAAAACTCTCCAGGAGGCAGGCGTATCTGTCACAGTTCTGGGTCAGTTTCGAACCAGTATTTTGAGTTTTGATGGTTAGTTTATTTTTGAATGATTGTTGTGGTTTTGGGCGCTATGGGTATTATTATTATAATGATGATTATTATTAGAATTCTATGTTTCTGTTTATTCATGTTTAAGGGTTTGTTCTCGGTTGTATCTCACGTTTAGTTTAGTTCAGTTCAGGTTCCATGTGTCATTCTCTGTCTGTCTGTCTCTCTGTCTGCATGTGTTTTGCTTGTTGAAGACTAAACTTTGGACAGAAAGGCTCACAAATGAACAGCAACTGAAAGCCATTGCAGTAAAAGGCCTGGCAGATAAAAAGGAGGTAAACCAGCATCTGGTGATGTCCATGAATTCAAGACTTCAGGCTGTCATTGCCAGCAAAGAGTTTTCAACCAAGTATTAGAAATGAACATCTTATTTTCATTTATTTAATCACTTTTGAGACCTTGAAATGAAGGGACTGTGTTAAAAAAATCCTTCACTTCCTCAAATTTTGATGCAATTCTTTTGTTCAACCAACTGAATTAAAGCTAAAAGTCTGAGCTTTCAGCTTTAATTCAGTCAACTGCATCTGAGTTGTGGTAATGTAGAAATTTAGATAATTTAGAAAAAAAGGTGTCTCTCCCCAAATATTGATGCACTTAACTGTATAAATTATACATTGTTTTACTAATTGTGTCTCAGCTGATAAAAGACAATAAGAATTAAATACAGAGTCCACAGGAGAGAGTAATGATGCGCTGATTCAGTCTTTCCGGTTCCAAAACAATACTGAAAGCTTAGCTTTGAGCATCCATTGATACCAAATGTCATACCAAGTATGTGATATCAGAGCACTTGGTATTGACAATAACTGCTAATCATCGAGTGTTCTATGCAATCAAAACATGCAATTATTGTTTTTATTAAATGGTCCTCCTTAGTCTTTGCAATCAGAGAACAAAGAAAATAATCATTCTAACTGACAATTATCAAGCATGTTTTACATAAAACAGTCAGTCAGTCAGTCCCTTTTTAAAATAAAGGTTAGGAAGGGGGTTGGAGTTTGGGTTATTACCTGTTAGACCTCAGAGTGTTAAATTTATGAGCTTTGTTACTCATTTTGAGAAGGAGGCTTATAATTGTGATAATCTCCTTATATATGTTCACTAGTCTCCTTCTCAGTGCTAGACTCATTCGGTTAATTTATTCTTTCTCTGCTGTCAGTCTCAATGTGCTCTTCACACTCATACATGTAAATGTGAGGCATGTGCAGTGAAACTAACAAGACAAGTAAAGTGAGACGGCATTAATGTAACTGAAGGAAACATGCAATAAAAGCTTACAAGTGTAGAAAGTAAAGTAGCTTTTACACCAATCACAATGAGAGTGATAGCTGAGAAGAGAGGGAAACACCATCAGCTGATTTCAGCCATGTCAGCTCACTTGGATTCTTGCCACAGATACCTTATCATTTTTGTAGGCATAATAAAGATTCATTATCAGAAACATTGTTGTATATATCCCAAATTTAAATAGTGAACATGATTAATGTATTTTCTTTCATCCGGTTGTCTCTTACTTAGCAGTGCGCGCTGAAGATTCACTGAAGCTGGATCTGTCTTTGCCTTTGATGAAAAGCTTGAGGATATGTAGTATATCTTTCCAGAAGAACAACATTTAAGCTTAAGGGGAGTGACTGCTTGGAGAAGGAGCTCGTAATATTTATTATTACAATTAAACATTTATTGTTAGTATGACTGAAATCGATATCTCTCTATCTCTCTATCTATCTCTCTAGATATATATATATATGTGTGTGTGTGTGTGTGTGTGTGTGTGTGTGTGTGTGTGTGTGTG